CAAACACAGGAAACAGGATACTTGTATATAAAAACTTAAAGAAACGATATGCAAAACACGATTTTGCATTTTTATTAAATAAGTATTTGTTATTTTAATCATTAAATATGAGTATTTTATATGTTAAATAATAAAACATTTAATTTTTCCAAAAAAATGAATGAAATTTTATTGTACTAAGCTGCGCGTCCTAGAAAAACCAATTGTACTTTGCACTCCCTTACCTGTTTGCATTTCTCCCCAAAATTTAGTTTAGATCGGTCAATGTATGGCTTTTTAGAGGGCGTGACAAACAAAGGGACAAACAGAAGTCATAGAATTTTGTATATAGATTTCCGTTTATTTCTTGTACCTGTTTGTCTTCGAACATACTCTCTTGCATTCGAATTCAGTCTTATTTTTGCATTCGTCAATATACAGTGCCCAACCCCCGCACAAAAAATGTTGATATAACTTGAAATGTGAATATCTGAGCCACTACATATCCTGAGAAAATGAAATTCGAAACGATGTAGATTTTGTAAATGATTTCAAAAAGCTTCACAAATGTCCAATATGGGCACCAACTATGACACGATGCACGTCAAGTCAGTAGTCCAGCTCCTGCCAAACGCTCTGTAGCATATCTTGCGTAACATTCTGCAACGCCTCAGTGATTCTCTGCTTAAGCTCCTTTAGGGTTGTAGAAAGAGGGGAGTATATAGACCTGCCCTTTCACATGACCCCACAGAAGAAAAAGATCAAGAAGTGTCAAGTCAGGTGGATGTGGTGACCATTTCAACAGCATATTGTCATTATCACTGGTACGCCCGATCCATCTTCCACGTAGATTTTCATTGAGGTAAGCCCGTACTGAGGCACTGAAGAATGTTACGCAAGACATGCTACAGCGTGTTTAGCAGGAGCTGGAAAATGTACTTACTCAGATATTCACATTTTAAATTATGTCAATTTTTTTTGGTGGGGGATAGTTTATCTCTTTTACCCATTTTTTCATTATCCTTAATCGGATTTTCTTTTGCTCAGTGTTTTTGACTTATTCCATATTTTTGGTTAATTTTTTTTTTTGTTTGGTTTTTAAATGAGTTTTATAAAAGGAAAACTTCTCATTGTATAAATTGAGCCTTCAATCGTAATGCTAATTTCAGCCATTACTTGACAAGCTGTTCAGCCATTACTTGACAAGCTGTCAATTTTGTGTTGGATATTATTCACAATAAATACTGATAACCTAGCCTTCGGTGATCTCTTTTGTCTACTTTCGAAGGCCCAACAGTCTTTCTAATATTCAAAACGATTCCAACACCAGGATTCGTGGTGGGTATGACGATAAGCTACATCCAGTAGCAAGACCTCTGATCGGAAGATTAGAGGTTTTGAGGAGCGTGGAACCATCTCTTAATACCAGTTGTTCTCACGTCAACTGTGACCTGAGGTGGCAGCACCTGTTAGAGACCCAGCTATACTCAAATAGCGATTCCACTAAAAAATATAAAAACACTAAGATAGTATAAAAATACATTTTTATTAAAAATACCAGCAATATTTTTTTTTTATTAAAAATATACCAACAATACATTTTTTGTAGCGAAATTACCAACAACGTTTTTTTATAGAAATCGGTAAATTTTATGATGACATTCAGGGCCTGTCAAATATTTTTTTTTAAAAAATGGGAGTGAAAACGGTTTGCTGTAATTGATCTCATTTCTTGCGGGAGGGGGACAAGTGTTCTTTTCTCGTTTTATTTTGTAAAATTATTTGATAAAAAATAAATGCATCTATGTAATTGTGGTTTAGTCATGAAATGGTGTCTTTCTCTTGAATTGACTGTGGTGTTTCGGTTTCCATATTTGGGTTCGGCATTTGATGACCCATGATGCACTGCTAAAAAAACAAAAAAAACAACAAAACCAACATGGGAAAAATATTTGAAAATTCGGAAATGTTTGACATTATGTCTTGCTTTAAAGAAATAGGTCTATATCAAAATTTAACATATACAATCAATCATTTCAGACATATATATATATATATATATATATATATATATATATATATATATATATATATATAATCACACACAGATATATGTGTGTGTGTGTGAAAAGTGAGTGTATATAAATATATATATATATATATATATATATAATTATTTGTCTGACGATCGCAAAAGCTTGAAACCCAGGCTCACAAAACTCACATCAATCCAGCCAAATATATATATATATATATATATATATATATATATATATATATTGTAAAATATAGTTTTAAGACATGCTATATTTATTTAAAGTGCTTAATATCATGGATAGTTCGTATGTAAATATAAAACGGGACATTAAAAAAGCGCAAAGTGGCGACAGTCTGTTTCGCGCGAAACACAATCGTCAGGCCATGACGACTACATTTAGCATGAAACAGACTATCGCCTCTGGGTGCTGAATTACACACACACACACACATATATATATATATATATATATATATATATATATATATATATATATATATACTATACACACTGATGAATTGTGATACACTGAAACAGGGTTTGTATGTGGATGGCTATCTATCTATCTATCTATCTATCTATCTATCTATATATATATATATATATATATATATATATATATATATATATATATATATATATATATGAAAAATAGATAGTTTAGTTAATAAAACAAGGACATACGAAGAGGTACCGATATAATCAGTACTATTATAATCATTTCTTAAATATTAACCATATTCAGAAATATACGGAATATACAGGTTGATATGCCGCTACACAAAAACAACCAAACCAAACATCAACATCTTCTGCGAGACTTGGGCAACAAGACTTGATATTATAAAGCTCTTTAACTATTTCACTCTTAGCATTTTGAAACTTAAATCAAATCTACCATTCGTCCATGCCTAGACTATACTTGCCACATATGGTGCTCCTATTTAGAGATTCTTGAAAACATCTAAAGAAGAACCATCAATATTATCGGTCTTGATCTGCCGTTTTGGCTTCACTCACTTTCACACCGCCGTAAAATTGCCTCACTGTGCCTTTTCTATAAATACTTTCATAACCAGGTATTGAACTCACAATGTGTTATGGTGCTACCTAAGTAAATGCAGAGAATTGTTGTAAGTTATTGGATAAGTTCTTTTGGAATGGTCAAATCTAAGAAACTTTAAGCTAAAGAATACATTCAAGCAAGACAGTGCTTCTCTCATCATGATAACATTTAATTATCTGGGAAATGACGATGGAAAATGCGATACAGAAATTGGAATCCGCATTGGAATAAAGAAAGATGCCTTCCTAAAGCTGAGCAAAGTATTAAGAAGCAGGAAAATTTCTTTCGAAAGAAAGAAAAGGTTGCTGAACTCTTACTCTTATGTAATATCAATCTTCTTATATGACAGTGAATGTTGGGCAGTTTCCTTTCAGATGAAGTGGAAACGTGAGGCAATAGTTGAGTGATTAGTTTTTATGGCTTATCAACACTTTAAAATCTGTGTCTATATTTCTGAGATGAGGCATTGTAACTATTTACACTGTTTACATTTTTCGGAATATTGTCCTCATCTTTACTGCCATATTCCCTGCTACCTATAATCTTAATAAAAATAAATGTAACGTCAATCGGCATCTTTCTGTTTTCCTGAAATCTGTTCTTTTATTGTCCTTTCTCTTCAGTAAAGTCTTCTCGTTCTCTTTCACTCTCAGTAACTCCTTGCATTATCACCTTGCTTTGGGTGAAATCATTTTTTTTTAAATGTCGACCCCGACGCAATAAACAAATAGAAACGTGATGTTAAAATAAGATCATATTAAGTAAACCGAATTTTGGGTCAGAAGTGTCAAACGAAGGTGAAAAGCCGTTATCCGTCTTTTTTTTTATATCAGGTCAAGATTTGAATAACGAAATTTCTGATAAGGGTAGATGCGAGCATATACCCTCGACTACCATTTCTATATTCTTTACTCTCAACTTGCCATGAAGAACGCTTTAATTATTTCGTTTTTATTCAACGAAACTTTACCTTCTCGTTCCATGGGATTGTCTCACCATTTCTCGCAGGTGTGTACTTAAAAAAAAAAATAAAAAAAAGATAGAGAGATATTATAATTACTGTTGAGCCGACCTGATAAAAAAAGTCCTTGTGTATCCTCAGCTGTATCTTATCCCTGTCATACCAACCTTCGTTTTCATACCTGGTTTAAAAAAATTCCTTTGCCAAGCCCCATCAAGCTGTCGAATTCTTCGTTCGGCCAGCTACTTCATTCTCACTTATCGGCTCACACATTCCCCCGTCTTCTTATAGTTTTGTTCGTTCGTGTGTGAGGGGAGGACGTTCACCTTTCACCATCTCGTCTATAATGATCGTCCTGATTCAGTCAATAACGATGGTGACCGGATTTATACTATGCATTTTTTTTTCTTTTCTGTCTACAGGAGAGTGACTTCCAGATTGGTTTCTCTTATCAAATTATGCACAGACTTTGAGAGGAATTAAACAGAGCGACTCGACCGCATTTTCAAACAGGTTGCTATGACGACAAGTTAACGGTCATCCTCGGTCAATTTTTTTTTTATCTTTCTCTTTACCAACTTCTTCTTCTTCTTCTTCTTCTTCTTCTTCTTCTTCTTCTTCTTCTTCTACTACTATTTCTTCTACTACTACTATTTCTTCTACTACGACTACTACTTTTTCTACTTCTACTACTACTACTACATTTTCTTCTTCTTCTTCTACTACGACTACTTCTTCTACTATTACTATTTCTTCTTCTTCTACTACTACTACTTATTTTTCTACTACGACTACTACTTTTACCTCCTCTACTACTACTACTTCTTCCACTTCTTCTTCTCCTACTACTACATCTTCTACTACTACTACTACTTCATCTTCCACTACTACAACTTCGACTACTTCTATTACTACTACTACTACTACTTCCAACCCATCCATTTCTCCTTGCTTAAGGCTATATCATGTTGAAGCACAAGCACTCGTACGATCACCGAAGTTAAGTAACATCAATCCTAGTCAGTACCTAGATGGGTGACCGTTTGGAATACCAGGTGTTGTAAGTTTGCATGTGCGGATGGTGTAATGGATAATGGTTCAGAATTGCTAATCAGATAGCCGTGTTCTAATTCCAGTCGGGTTTGTTATATTCACTTACCCGCAAATACGCTTGAGAAAGGTATGAATCCACCTCTTCTCCCCATAGCCACGGGCTAATTAATGCGATTTCTAGTACTAAAACATTATCTCCAAAAGAAAAAAAAAATTCTTACCATCTAAAAATATTTTTGCCTTTAAATAACCTTCAATGAGTTAATAAGCCGTATAAATCGAATCAATCAGCTCGAATGCAAATTTATTAGTCAAACTAATCACCATTAGAATTTGTACAATAATGCCAAAGACCGGATATTAAAGTTCACGTGGAGTTAAAAAATGGCCGAATGCTTTTTTTTTCTCTTGGTTTCAATATGTTCTGTAAGCGTTAATATTCTCCTCGTCTTCTTTCCTCATTGCATGTTCCAGAAATTTCAGTTACCACATTTTGATTATAAGGATAACATTCCTTATAGTTACTATATTCCTTAAAACTTCCTCGTTTCTCACAAGTTTTGACCATGGTATTCTTAGCATCAGTTGCAAGAAGCACATCTCTGTTGTTTTGCAGTTGCCTCTTCATCTATTTAGATTATTGCTTAACATCCACTGCCAGAGAGAGAGTAATTACAATTTAGTAAAATCTAACGAAATTTTCTTGTTTCTTAATTCTTTGCTGAGCTTTTGGAATACACTTTTCGCTATTCCGATGCGCCCTCGGATTTTTGTTTGTTGGTTAGTTGTTTTTGTTTAGCGGCATATCAACACCTCTATGGGTATATTCAATGCCGAAATTTACATATTCTGAACACGATTTTATAGCTTCAACTAAATATAATTTGAACTCAATTGTATGCCATCATCTACAGATAAACGCATTGTTGGTTATTTTGCTATAAAATATATCGTGTGTAATTCTACTATAAACTATTGGTAATTTTACTATCAATACGTATTGTTGATAATTTTTTTTATATAAATATGTATTGCTGGTATTTTTACTATAAAAATGTATTTTTATACTTTAGTGTTTTGACCCCAGAATGGAGATAAGCTATTTTCCCATAGTTGGGACCCTAACAGGTGCTACTACCCCGGGTCGGTGTGATCTTGGAACAACAGTAATTAAGAGGTGATTCCACGCTCCTGAAAACCTCCCGATCAGAGACCTTACTGCCGGTTGTAGTTTATCGTCATACCCAATTGTGTTCTTTTTGGAATGGTACTTAGTTGTTTTTGTTTAGTGGCATATCAACACGTCTGTGGGTTATTTAATGCCGAAATTTGTACCCAATTTACATAATAATGCTTTTAGTGATACACGTCTTAATAATTAACCCACAGCTGGGGTGAGAAAAGGTGGATTCATACCTTTCATAAGGGTATTTGTGCGTAACTGAATATAACAATCCCAACTGGAAATGGAACTCGGCTCTCCGATTAACAATTCTGAGTCATTATCCAATATAAAACCCGCAAAGCTTACAGCACTTGGTATATTTCTTAGCGGTCACCCGTCTAGATACAGAGTAGGCTCGACGATGCTTAACTTCGGTGATCGTAAGAGAACCGGTGTTTCAATGTGATGTAACCGCAAACTTCTGATTTGTGTGCCACATTTTCCGTCGTCTGTTATAACAATTCCTAGATGGTTAAAGTTCTGTACTTGCTTAATTCTGACGTCCCCAATATGTAGCTCGCATTTTGCGTTGTCCCTTTTGCTAACGACCGCACAGCTTTGTTACAATTCATGGCTAATTAGATGGATAAGATTATTATTAAGCAACAGAATATTTTTCTTTCACTTAATACATTTTTTTAGTTTCTAAAAGACATATTTGCTTTTCCTTTCCACCATCGGATTTCTGTGACAAACTTTCTGTCGTTTGTGATTGCCTTATTCACATAGTTAAATTTCTGGGTCTGTTTCATTTTGACGTACCGAATCCGTAGCTCACACTTTGAGTTGCTGTTTTTGCTGACAACCATGCAAAATCAATAAATACATCAACGGCATCCATGAAAAAGAATTTCGTTAAAATGTCTTTCCCAGAATCGCGCAAAATAACTCATTTATAAATATTTCACTAGTTATATATTATAAAGTGAGTTAGTGGCATATTTCCCATAAGTGACAGTCAATATTTGAGACCATGATTACGGCAACACTATCTTCCCACATTAATTATCCCAATGACAGATTGTTTAGCATTAACGACTAAGAGGTTTTAGGCGCCGTTCCTTTGGAGGTGTCAGCTTGCAGAAACGCTAAAAGTAAATGAATTGCAGTAGTATTTTTAGTGTTTCTGCAAGTTGACATCTACGAAATTGAAAATTTATCTTAATTGAAATTTCTTTGTTTATTCCTTTATATTTTTTTTTCACAATGACGTTCACCCAAGAGCCCCTCGAAGTGGAATGTTACAGAGTAAGAGGCAGAAATTATGCAGATATCTGGGGAAGACATCGATTAACTCTAGATTTAAACAGTTTAAAATTGTAACGATCGGAAAGCATTCTCTCGGGAGTTGGTTTCACAAAGTAGTGGGTCATCGACAGAGACTACTCTTCACCAAATTAAAAATACCTGCAATGCATACGGGGAAATAAAGAATAATCCGTGGCTCGATTCGAGTGGAAAGTTGATTTTAAATGAGGCTGCCGGGAGATAAACCATCGCTGACAGAACTTGTAAAGAGGAGAAGGTAGGTTTGTCTACATTTTTTAAAGTCGGGTTACGTTTCCACAGCATGCCAAACTTCGCTTGAGTTTTATTACTGGCCCCAGAAAATTCACGCCTGTTCATGTAATTTGTGTGTTATAAACGAAATCTGTCAGAAATGTAAATATATAAACGCTTTGAGGTTTTGGGTTTCCAGCCCCAGCCGGAACCACAGAGATTACTTTATCAGTAACTCGAAGAAAAAACACATCGCTGGCGCTTTTAATCAATATACTAAAATTTCTAACATGAGTGGAAACAATTTTATATTCTAGTATATGTTACAAAAGTCTCATATATATATATATATATATATATATATATATATATATATATATATAACACAGTAACTGCCTACAAAATAATGTAATATACAAAGCTACGGAAACCCAAAAAATTAATACAGAAAATATATATACAAGACATCATCTGATATCAACAAATATGCAAATGTATTATATGACTCATGCAAGGAAATACTAGAGGTCTGAAATTAAATTAATCCCAATCAGGAACCTTTAAGCTAAGAGGTGATATGTGGGGAACCCAATATGTAGTGGATTCACATTAAATGTTACGAAATTAAGTTTAATATTAATTCTCAAATCAGAATGCCAAAAGAGCTAGTTTCCTCGAGAGTTGACACCGAAGTGCAGAATCGGTCAACACAGCTGAACATGGGATAGACACATAGACCAAACATCTGGGTAGCTGGAAGTTGTAAAAACGCCCGATCAACGAAGGGAAACAGGGAATTCTTTAAATCGATTTTCGAAGGAAGTCGCTCACCAAATTGTCTTTGGTGACTTCTGGGACCTCAAAGTAAGTTTCAGTATTCTAATTCTTTAAAAAAAAAATTACTACTTTAAAACTTTTTACTGGTTGGTTGGTGGTTTTTTTTTAATCGCAAAAGAAATTCTATGAATTGTTTAATGCCGAAATATAATTATTTTGTAAACAATTTTATTTTTATGTTTGGAGATAATAATGGTTTTAGTGATAAAAGTCTTATTAATTAATCCTTTAGTGGAGTGAGTAAAGGTGGATTTATGCCTTTCCCAGGGTTATTTGCGTATAAGTGAATATAACGAACACAACTGGAATTAGAATTCGGCTCTCCGATTAACAATTCCGAGTCATTTTTCATTACACCTCCCACACACCCAAGCTTACAGCACCTGGTATTCCCAAGTGGTCAACAATCTAGGTACTGACCAAGTTCGGCGTTCTTTAACTTCGGAAAACGTACAGATGAACTGTCAACAATTATCTCTCCACTTTGGGTTAAATTGGGAAATGGTAGTGAGTGTGGCTACATTCCTTGAAGATATGGTTAATCAGGGATGGGTTCCTCTAACAGGAGTGAGAAAGCCTTGGATTTGGATAAATAGTAGGATAGACTGGGTCCTATAGACTTGGGTGACAAACAGGTTTAGGAGAAGGAAAATTCTTAATTCAAAATCTGAGTAGGCGGCAACTAAATCGCCTCCTCCAATCAACTCTCATCTGGTGAGGAGGGTAAATGGAAGGGTACACAGAGCAAAAAAAAGAGTAAGCAACACACAAACCCCCCAAAAAAAACAAGGGCTCTTAAAGTGCGGATGGACTCGAGAGTTAACCGCCACCCACCCAACTATGGATTAAGCAACCCTAAAGATATGATCAATCAAGGAGGGATTCCTTCAACAGAAATGAGTAGTTCCTGGGTTTGGATTTGGAGTGTCTAGCCACCTACCTCAGCAAGAAACCTTGATGGCGAAACCTTTTAGTCACCGACAACCTGACAATGTGGCAGATATTACTGAGTTATATGGTATTACTGGTAGAGAGGGCTGAGCAGCACCCGAAGAAAGAGCAAGGTGACACTCGTAGAGAGAGCAGAGTAGTATTCGTAGAAAGACCAGAGTAGCATTCATAAAGTGAGTGTGATATCACTCGTAGAGAGAGCAGAGTAGCACTTGTAGAGAGAGCGGAGTAGCACTCGTACATAAAGAAGAGTAGCACTCGTAGAGAGAGAGAGAGAGGGGAGAGGGGGGAGAGGGGAGAGGGGGAGCGGGATAGAGAGTTGATATAAACTCAATAAATACATAATTAAAATCCATGATCAATTTTATTGAGAACTTTCACAAGGACCTGTTTACAATCCAGCTCCTAATAGTAGTAAATATTTTACAAGTGTTCCAACTACTGGTTGAAAGATGTGCTTTTCTAGGTTAGCTAATGCAGCGAAACCTTTATATTTTGCTGCTTCCACTGAATGCATCTATGGAATCAACGGTGCTTTTCTCAGGAGTGAATATGTTCGACCCCTGTTGCTTGTAAATGCCCTATATATTTCTGTCAAGAATGAAATATGAACCCGTGTCAAGTATAATTACAGAAATTGTTAACGTATATAAAATACCCCTCCACTTTCTGAGCGCTTTTGTTGCTTTGCGAGTCGGATTGAAAGGGTGTGGTACTAGAGTCTCTATTTCATGTGGAATCTCGGACATATAATATACAGCGTGATAAGGTTAGGCTAAACAGAATTGGTGGAGTCCGTATCGAGACAAAAGGGTCTAAAAATTAGGGTGCAGCTGGCGAAATGAGGACAGGGTGTAGACACGAGAATCATCCATTAAAAATAAAATTCGAACCCACAGATGCTTATATAAGCGAATAAGCGAATCCTATCCGAGACACGTTTCATTGTCCGGAATAGAATGTAGAATTCAACATAAAATATTTGTTAGTGTACAATTCATGTAACAAATATATTTGGTCGAATATTTTCATATTTCTCAAACTTTTAGCGACAGCTCGACGGTGTAGAGTGTGATACCCACATTCTAAACTAAGTAAGACATCCCAAACGGACTTCATCAATGGGAATAACATCTCACCAGTACGACAGTTTTGAGAGCAACGATACTCTCTACGAATCTCTCAGGCTAGACAGGGTTACTAGATTTTGCAATTTAGATTTTGGGTCCAGGAAATTTAATCGTGCTGGGTTTTCAAATGTAGACAAATTCACTCTTTCAAGTGTAGCCCAATTTGTTTTTCGCTTTTTCAAATATAGCTCAATTTGTTTTTCGCTTTTTCAAATTTAGCCCAATTCGGGTTTTCACTTTTTCAAATGTAGCTTATTCGGGTTTTCAAATGTAACCCAACTGGCTTTTTCAAATGTAGCCCAATTCAGGTTTCAAATAAAGCCCAATTCACTTTTTGAAATGCAAACTATGCCGGGTCTTCACCTTTTCAAATATAACTCATTTCACGTTTTCAAATATAGTTCATTTCGTTTTTTCAAATCTAGCCCATTTCTGTTTTTCGCCTTTCCAAATGTAGTCCAATTCGGGTTTTCAACTGTAGGCCAATTGTTTTTTTTTTATTTCCCAAGTCTAACCCAATTAGATTTTCGCTTTTTCAAATGTAGCCCAATTCGCTAGTTTTATTCAATCTAGCAAACCTGCTCACAACTAATCCCAAACCATAGAGAAGGCAAAAGAAAACCTACTATACTATATTTCCCAAGTCACAAATAATGAAGAAACATCTGTGAAAAGTCATGATCGCCTACGTCCTGAAGGGACATGGGAATAAGAAAATAAAAATAAATAAAACCTTTCAAGACGAACTGACTGGATTTCACCGACCAAAACGCGCATTTGTTTAAAAACTGGTCTAAAAATACTAATGAGATGAAAACCAATTTAAAGTTTAGTAGTGCCATTTTTTTCAAATGTTGACTAATTCCCTATTTATTATCAATCTAGCAAACCTGCTTGTATATAATAATTTTTTAAGCAAACAAGTGAGAGAACATGTTCCATCAACAAACAAGTGGGGGAACAGTTTTTGTACAACCAAAATCATAAACAGATCCCCTA